TCGATCGCCGTCGTTCCCAGACGCATCGAGCAACTCGGCCAGCAACCGCACCAGAGACGCCAGCGCACGCCGGTTCTGAGGACTGATCTCCGTGAGAAACTTGCGAAAGTTTTCCTCAAAGTCGCGAGGAAACAGCGTATCAAATTGACTCTGAATGAGCTTCAAAGCGCCGGATTCTATCACAGGGCCCATGTGTTCCTTCCATGCATTGGCCATAAATGTTTCGAACGCGACAAATAATGTGTCAACAGGCACTTCAGCTGCAGCTTGAATTTTCCCGGGGTCTTCCAAGAGTACATTATACAACTCATTGACTGATGACCTGTCGACATTTTCCCTTGCACGCAGACTTCGTCCAACAATATTGCCGCTGCGAGACTGAAGTGCAAGGGCGTATGCCGCAAATGTCTGTTCCAACAAACTGAACGGACTATCTGGTCCTTTGGAAGGAGCTGTCCCAACCACGGAGATTTTGCTGGGGGTTTCTTCCTTTCCAGGGAAGATCGAGGGTAGCGTATTGGATCGAGTGAGATTGGCTCTTGGAGGTGGCATTTTCGGAAATTCACCAAGCAGAGTTGCAGAACTGGGGCCTTTCGAGCTTGTAGTGCTACTGTCCTTGGAGTCTTTCGACTGGCCCCCACCTAGGAGACTCGAGAGGAGTTTGGTAGGTGAAGGAGGACGAAACCCGCGAGGCGCCTTAAATTGAGTGATGAGATGACCGGCCAGGTAGCGAAGTATATCAAGATTCGAGTAGATTATTGATTCCGTCATCGTCCGGTTTCGAGGACCATGCAGAGGCAGAAGGACATTCAAGACTGTACTCCGTCAACGCTACAGGCCATCAATTTGATAAGAGGACGAGAACTTACGGCGTTTGGAGAGCACAGGAACGAAGCTATCCACTGTAACAATATCCGAGGAGGCAACCCCGACGATGGAGTCTATATCGACACGATATTGGTCCTCACTTGCAGATGAAACCGAGATGACCACCTCCAAATCTGAAGTGTTCAATGCCTTGCCGGAAATCGCCCTGGGAGTGTCAAAGACAATTCGAATCTTGGACAGGCCACTTCGACCCAAGACATTGTCCTTTTCTTCTTCGAGAACACAGGCCAGAATGCCGATGTTCCCGACGGTCCCCGTGGGGCTCCTCAGGGTCCATTTACCATTCTCCCGCTCGCTCTCAGAAAACCGGCCTTCAATCTTCGCCTTCACCACTTCTTCGATAAGCCGACTCGCCCGCCCCTCATACATCCCAGTTAATTCCAAAGCGAAGAGATCCACTGTGGTATTCTGATTTGGTCTTGCTTTGGCCGATGTAGGAGCGAGGAAAAGTATTCTCCCGCATGTAGACTGCATTGAGCGTACGGTTTGCAGGTCGTATACTTGCGCAACCTTGATCTCACCTGAGCTTTGCAGGGCAGAGGGGCCACCGGGTCCTGATGCGGCGCCATCGAGGTCTGCAAGTAAGCCGCGTGCAGTTGTTCTGCTTCCTAGAGCTTTCGCTAAGAGAACAAGGCAGTTCTTATAGATCAACATGATCCCCTGATTTTGGTTTGGAGATGAAGGATCGATGTGATATGGAGGCGATAGCTCGTTGAAGTCGACAGCTGTGATCAAGCGGCCGACCGGCAGTATTGTTGCCGGCCAACCATCCACCAGTTCTTTCAATCGTCGGAAGCTCTGGTCGTGATTCGTAGACGAGGGATCGTCGAGTGAGCATATATCCTTGATGATATCTCGAGCCTTCAGGAGCGGCCTGACGGCGGGATGGATCAGGGGAAGACTGCTGGTCATGGTGTCAATCAGAAGGCTGTAACGAGGCAGGCGCTGAACAGGCTCCATCAGCAACGAACGCAATCGTTGCTCTCCGGTCTCTACAACTCTCTTGGAGAAGCTTGAGTTCTTATCCCTCATAAATGAGTTGAGTGTCTGTGTAAAGCCTGTATGAGCTCGCATATAGTCCGCGTAGGGCTGTGAGAACTGCGGAAACCATTCGAGGAGCGCATTCGCAAATGCGACAGCACCAATCGGATCCTTTCCTTCCCTTGACGACATTCTATGCGACGCGGACGACGGGAGCTCGGTGTCGTCTCCAATATCGGCAATCGCATCCCTTTCTGTTTCCTCCAGGACGTTGCGAATCACTTCCAAAAACCCCAGATTGACGTCAAGTATCTCATTAAGACAGGGAGGGAAAAGTGCGGCCAGAGAGGCTTCGTCTGGGCTGGTGCTGGACGCTCCTCTACCTTGAGCCTTTAATCGGAATTCTTCGGCTACCTCGCGCACAAGATTGTATAGCTTGCTCACATACCGCTCCTCCGTGTCGACAAGCTCGCACATAGTCAGACGGAGAGACTCTTTCTGGCTTCTGGTGAAGAGCCTAGATTTGCTAAGATTGGTCGGTTGGGAGGGCGCTCGTTTCAGTCTTGACGTCGGTAGGAACATCGGCGCTCCGAGAGATCGGATAAGAGCCGAATATTGGCCATATTGTAGATCATGGTTGTCCTCTATCCCCAGAGCTTCATCAATACCATCATCCTCCGGCCGTTGAGGGGGCTGTATTGTTCCCGCGGGGAACACTATATCAATATCCACCCACGGAACTTTGCGCTCCTGAAAGGCACCGCGAATGTCGCGTATAAGGTCGGCCGATTGTTCCACTTTGGCCATCCGATTCGCAAGATCCGCGGCATGCATCTCGTCAAACAACTTGGGAATCTTTCCACCAGGCTTCCCCGCACGAGCCATTGTTTCCAAGCACTCCTTGACCGGTTCGGACAACTCGGCAAAGTATTTCAACATGCTGACAGCAAGTCCGCGACAAACCTCGTCGCCTTGTCTCTCGCGGGGTAGGTGGTTGACGGCCGCATATAACGGAGCAGCGGGGGAGACGGTGATCCGAGAATAGCTCTGAAAACCAGCGGGGGTCAAGATATGCGCCTGAATGCGCGAACTGCTCACGGTGGCATTTGCGGTTGTAACAGGACCGTAGAAGACGAATATCAAAGACAGATAGGGATCGGAGGCCTGGTAGAGGGTGAGCTGCTCCAGAGGCAGGTCCGACAGGGCGCTCGACACGGTCGCCATAGCGGGAATTTCGAGGGAGGAGCAATCGGCGCGCAACGAGTGAAAAAAATAAGGAAAGAGTTGGAACGACCAAAGAAGGAAAGATCTATCGAAAAAAAGAAAGTATTAAGAACGATTAAGTAAAAAGAGAGAGTGAAAGACAATATGTCCAGAAAGAGTGACAATAACAACAACAGTTACACGGGGTACTGTGATGCGACCAAAGGCGGGATATTATTATGCTCAAACGACACAAGGAAAGAAACGAAAGTAAAAAGAATAAATAAATGAACGAATGATCGTCCTCAAATGATCCAACGAGGAGACGAAGAAGGAATCCCCTCCATGGGAAGAAAGGTCAAGAGAAGGTGGAGGAGTGGAGGGAGAGAGGTGAGGAGAGGAGAGGAGAGGAGAAGAGGGAGGGTGGGGGAGAAGTGAATCGCTAACTGGTAATGGATTCCCCCCGGCGGCGCAAACTTTCTTTAGAAGAATTAAGAAGGATCAGATGATGATAATAGTAATAGTAGTAATGATAGTAATAATAATGGCGATGCTGATGGGTGGAGTTATGTAACAAAACAAGAAGAAAAAGTGGTCAAGACAAGCGATGAGTTGTTGACTTGGATTTGGTTGGACGATTGAATGTAGGCACTGCAGATGGATGAATGTGGCTTGTCCGAGAGCGATAATCAACTGAGATGCGATAGTGGACTCAGTCTGACATGCTGAAGTCCATTGGGGTGATATCAGTCTGCAAGTAGATTGTTCAAGAGAAGCAGAAGAGCATGGTGACGATAATTTACAGGTCGTGAAGACGGTAGTGAGGGGAAAAGAGGGGAATTAATGTGTAAGGAGATTCATGCGATCAGATCTATGGGACGTACTTGATTGAGTAACAAACTAACATGTTGCCTCAGCTATTCTAAGCGCGTGGGTTATGCTGGTAGCTATCTATACCTACATCTGATATTAGCCCCATTTTCTCGCTTACTTTCTGAATACTCTGTATATGCTTTGCAGCTGATCACACGTGAGGTTGTCCACAAGCACCTGCCAGTCAGTAAGTAACCAATTCTCCTAGGCTGTCAGCTCTGATCCTCCTATGACTAACTGTATATCAGTGTCTGCAAGGGAATCTGAAACTGTTCCAAATAAACAATATATCAATCGATAAGTAGTAACCTAAAAGTAGGCTGAAAGTGGAGAACTGACGCCCCATCGGGGAGAATATTTCCAAGGTACGGACTACGGAGTTACTACTTCCAGCTCCTTACCAGGTTTTCGTCTTTGAGGCTCAAACATCTTCAACGGTAGTCCTACAGATCGATCTAAAAGATCCCTCCAGACCATGGTGATCTATGTAACAGAGGAGAGAGATCTTTTGTTTCGTCTCTCGTCAATCTTCTAGATAGTTCGGCTCTATGTAAGGATTATTTGATCAGGGATGCACATGCCAAGTTCCCACTTACCATGAGACAGACCCCTTAAAGGTTGTCCTGACAGTTGGGCCAGCATCGGCATCGTCAGATCCATCACTTTGACCTCCTTGCGTTGAGGTGAGTGATGAAGCCACTGAGAAAGACTAGGGAAACTTGCCTGGATGCTGATCGGCCTCGTGGATAACTGCCCTGGTATTGCTGGTAACTAACGGTACAATACATCCGTGATCGTATCTAAGTATCTTACAAATTCTTCCCCATGTATTGTTACATACTGTACCAGTCACATTTACTGTTAAACCCTAAACCCGATTTGGTAAGCTATCCAAAGGCTGGAGAAGACCAGCTGTTGCGTTCCTCGTCGACTCCAACGCTACTTGTGCTGCTCTAATACCCCACCTCTGTCTTATTTCAGAGTGACAGGCTATGGTATGAGATTGCTCTGTGATTGAGCAACCTCCTTAGAGCTCATTCCTCCCCTTTTCCGTCATGTCAACGTCCTCCCTGTCCATCGCTGTTGATCCAGTGGCTCTGGTGACAACAGAATGCATCACCGTCACCTCCTCCATGCGCAAACATGCCCGCTGGGCTCATTCGTCTGTTGCCGCCATTCTCGGTGGAAATGCTTCCTCCCGAGTATATGAGAAAGATACATCTGCCCCTCCGAGCCCCCGCAATGGCGCGGCCTCTCCCCGTCCTCGTTCGAGACTGTCTGTCATGGATGACGATCATGCTTTGGCCAATCGATGGGGCCTGAGGGGCAAGAAAGGCAAGAGCATGCAAGATAATCCTCTGATCTCCGCGTTCACACGGTTACGGAGCGACCTAAAGGACTGCAAAGACATTCGGACCTTCGATACACCGGCACTCCTGCACCCCTTCCTGCAAGTCATCCGTTCATCCTCAACCTCGGCCTCGATCACCTCCCTCGCCCTGATCGCGATCACCAAGTTCTTCGCTTATAACATCATTAACCGCGACTCCCCTAGGCTTTCCATGGCCATGCAGCTTTTGTCGGCCGCCATAACCCACTGTCGTTTCGAGGCCAGTGATTCCTCTGCGGATGAGATTGTTCTGTTGAGGATCCTCAAGCTTATGGAGGGAATGCTTTCCCGACCGGAGGGAGAGCTGCTTGGCGATGAAAGTGTCTGTGAAATGATGGAAACGGGTCTGAGTATGTGCTGTCAAGTGCGTCTCTCGGAAGTGCTGCGGCGTTCCGCCGAAATGGCCATGGTCAATATGTGCCAAGTGATCTTTTCACGTTTGTCGCAGCTGGAGGTCACGGAGTCGGTCGACTCGGGCTCTTTGACCGCAGCCGGGAACAGTGCCGAACAGACGGGCCTTAAGATGGATCCCTCCGTTGATGGGGACACCGTAACCTCCCAGCATCCTTCCGCCATGGGCTCCGACACCGCGGGACCGGAACGAGAGCGCACCGGCGGGGATGAGCCGTCCGATCAAGCTGCCAGTGGGAACGCCGTCGCCGCTCCTCCGAACCCAGAAGACGATCTCGGGAACGAGGTCGAGCCGTATTCCTTGCCTTCTATCCGGGAATTGTTCCGTGTCCTCATCGACCTGCTCGATCCACATAACCGGCAACATACCGATCCCATGAGGGTAATGGCATTGCGGATCATAGACGTGGCTCTGGAAGTCGCAGGCCCTTCCATCGCCAAACATCCTAGCTTGGCCGCATTGGCGAAAGACGATCTTTGCCGGCACCTGTTCCAGTTGGTTCGCTCGGAAAATTTGGCCATTCTCAGTGGGTCGCTCAGGGTTGCCGGCACTCTCCTTTTAACCTGCCGGTCCGTCCTCAAGCTACAGCAGGAGTTGTACCTGTCCTATCTGGTTGCTTGTCTTCATCCTCGCGTAGAGATCCCGAGAGAGCCTGGCATCGATCCGGCCCTATATGATGGGGTGCCACAAGCACCCAAGCTGGTGAAACCTCCTCCTTCACAGTCCAACAGCGGCAGGTCCACGCCCGTCCCAGTCAAGGATAGACAGAAACTAGGTCTGGAAGGCGGCTCGAGGAGACCAGAGACTCGGGAAGCCATGGTTGAGAGCATCGGCGTGCTCGCACGTATTCCCAGCTTCATGGTGGAGCTTTTCGTCAACTATGATTGCGAAGTAGATCGGGCAGACCTCTGTGAGGACATGGTGGGTCTCCTTTCTCGCAATGCCTTCCCCGATTCAGCGACGTGGAGCACAACTAATGTGCCCCCATTGTGTCTGGATGCACTCTTGGGGTACATTCAATTCATATACGATCGTCTCGAAGACGAGCCGCGATACGAGGGCTTCCCCTCCAAGGAGATGCTCAAGAGCCAACGCAAAAGGAAGAGGATCATCATACAGGGCGCCCAAAAGTTCAATGAAAATCCAAAGGCGGGAATCGCATACCTTGCAGCTCATGGTATCATTGAAAATCCAGACGATCCTGTTCTGGTTGCCCGATTCCTGAAGGGAACGACTCGGATATCGAAGAAGGTTCTTGGAGAGTTCATTTCTAAGAAATCCAATGAAGCAATCCTGGAAGCATTCGTCGATCTGTTTGACTTCTCCGGCAAGACTGTCGTCGATGCGCTGAGAGACCTCCTCGGTGCTTTCCGTCTTCCTGGAGAATCTGCTCTCATTGAACGGATTGTGACCACATTTTCTGACAAATTCGTCCAGAAAGCTCATCCAAAGGGCGTTGCAGACAAGGATGCACTCTTCGTGCTGACATACGGCATTATTATGCTTAACACAGATGCCTACAATCCTAATATCAGGCCCCAGAATCGCATGACTTGCACTGATTTTGCAAGGAATCTGCGCGGAGTCAATGCGGGACAAGACTTTGCTCCCGAATTCCTTCAAGAGATCTACGACTCAATCAAACAAAACGAGATCATTTTACCCGACGAGCATGAGAATAAACACGCTTTTGATTATGCATGGCGCGAGCTTCTTCTCAAATCTTCATCTGCCGGAGAACTGGTTGTTGGGGAGACCAACATTTACGATTCGGAGATGTTTGAAGCAACTTGGAAACCAGTTGTGGCAACGCTTTCGTACGTCTTCATGTCCGCCTCAGATGATGCAGTCTACTCTCGAGTCGTGATGGGTTTCGATCAATGCGCACAGATTGCTGCGCGTTACGGTATCGCCGAGGCATTCGACCGCATCATATTCAGTCTCGCGTCCATTAGCACTCTTGCCACCGACAAGCCGCCAAGCACCGCCCTTAACACGGAGGTCCAAGCTGGGAAGAAGACCGTGATGGTTAGCGAGCTTGCCGTCAAGTTCGGGCGAGACTTCAGAGCCCAGCTAGCCACGGTTGTTCTCTTCCGGGTTCTGTCAGGAAACGAGTCTGCTGTTCGGCAAAGCTGGAAATATGTTTTCCAAATCACCAGCAACCTCTTCATCAACTCGCTCATTCCTTCATTTGAAAGTGATGTGATTGCTGAACTCGGGATCCCTTCGATCCCACTGCAATCCCCATCACAGGTTGTAGACCGCGATGCGCGTGGTAGTGAGACAGGACTCTTGTCGGCTTTCACGTCTTATCTCTCCAGCTATGCAGCCGATGATCCTCCAGAACCATCGGATGAGGAGCTGGACAATACGCTTTGCACAGTTGACTGCGTGGCCGCATGCGCAATCAATGATGTTCTGCTCAACATCAAGTAAGTGCATTACCCTTTCTCCGCCTAGCTCATGTGCGATACCAACAATAGCATTGATATAGATCCCTTCCCCTCTCATCCGTCACTCTAATCGTAGAGTCGTTAATGGCTGAGCTACCTGAAGACACCACTCCAGCGGTCATTGTTGTCAAACCTGAACGACCAATTTCTTCCCCAAGATCGCCAAATGGCAGAGCCGTTGCACAGAAATCAAACTATGACCCCAAGATGATGTATTATTTGGAATTGGCAACGGTTCTTACCCTCCGTGACCAAGGAACCATCGAGGCCCTCGGTGAACGACTGGCCATCGTGTTGCAGGCCTTTATCAGAGATGCAACGAATCTGCACTCGCTGGCCCTGTCCCGGATCGTCTCCTATCTGTTCAATCTATTGCGACTGAGCCATGTACACATGCCCTACTCTATCCGTCCTAGACAATATATGTCCGGTCTGACTAACCTTTTCCAGGATCAATCCTTCATGCGTGTGCCTGTCATTCTCCACGGCATATCCAGCTTCGAACAGGATATTTTAGAAAGTGTTGCTGTCCCCACAATCAAAGGTCTAGCCCGGTGCATTTCAGAACCAGGCCTCTTGAGAAACGAGCTCACTGTCTCCCCCGACTTCTGGTCCATTCTGCAGAGATTGCACCAACACACGGAGGCGGCCCCCTTAGTTTTCGAGCTCCTTCGCATAATCATTGATTCTGTGCCTCCCATAGTGACTGCAGATAACTATGAGTCTGCTGTCGGTCTTGCGAATGATTTCATAAGCGCTGCTAGCGTGGGTTACATCGAAGAACGCCAGAGGGATGCAGCCTCTCGGCGCTCTAAGGCTGTGAAGCCATCAAAGCCAAGGTTCGTCTATTTCTCCCGGATGAAATTGATGCCTCAACTAGGAGCTAAACAAAGCTTGCAGTGAGAACGAGGTTGTTGCTCGCGGTGTCAAAGCCGTTGGTCTCATCTATCACCTGACAAGTCGGGTTCCGACCCTCATTAAGCAGTCTCATCTTGAGGAGCGTGAAGGTACGTATGAAACGTGCCTAGTCGCAGCAGAAGAACAGGCCATTAACTTTGATAATCTCGTAGCTTGGTCAGCCTACTGGTCACCCGTATTCCAGTCTCTGAGCGCACAGTGCATTAACCCTTGCCGGGATATCCGGCATCATGCGGTTTCCACTCTGCAAAGATGCCTTCTCTCTGTCCACATTGATTCGACTGATGACAAGGAATGGACCGCTATCTTTGACCAGGTCCTGTTCCCACTTATTCTCTTGTTACTGAAACCCGAGGTCTACCATTCCGATCCACGTGGTATGAGTGAAACTCGCGTTCAAGCAGCAACACTGGTTTGCAAAATCTTCCTACGCTATCTCGACCAGCTTCCGAACCGGGAAGGCATGCTAGATCTCTGGCTGAAGATTCTGGATATCCTCGACCGTATGATGAACAGCGGTCAGGGGGATAGCTTGGTACGTGGAATTTGAGCCATGAGAAATGGATACGCTAACTATCTTCTACAGGCGGAGGCAATCCCTGAAAGTCTCAAAAACATTCTTCTAGTCATGGCGGATGGCGGACACTTGGTACCGCCGTCCCAAGATCCCAGCAAGGAACCCATCTGGACGGAAACCAAGAAACGCCTGGAGCGATTCCTCCCAGACTTGTTCAAGGAGATTTTCCCCGAAGACTTGAACGAAAGGCCCGCCGTAGTCTCCGCGATCTCGTCTCCTATCTCTCCTTCCCGCGACGATGCCAACGCCACCGATGCAAACGTTGAAGAGTCTCAGCCAATTTCTGGTCAGTCTGAAGGTGAAGGCGAAGTGATAAAGCCTGAAACCAAGGCCGACTAACCGCGGGGACATCTCGACTATCAACCCTATTCTCCTTTTATCACTTCAAGCATTTATAGCGTGGGTAGCTACTTCATCGTCTTCCTCTTGTATACATGTAAATATAACGATCATTTGACCAACAATGTCCTGGGAATGGTGGAACCGTCCCACCTAGAACTCATCGACTTCTGGCTCTTCCCAACGAAGTCCCTCTTCGATAGACATAATCTGCGTCCTGTCTAGGCACAAGCACATGGTCACTTATTTGAACTACAGCAATGAGTCCTTATAGCAGAATCGACCCGCAAGACTTGAGATGTGGATTGAAACGGAATGGCCATCTATACACACAAAAGGAGAAGTAAAATCACCATTTCGAAGCGGTATCACGCTCCATGTGGGTGCAAACAAGAAACAAAGGAAACTAGGTAGTATGACAAAGACATACGCGGCTGGTTCGGATCCAGTGTCCACAAATATTTCGACAGAAAGACAACGACGCCGGCGACAGCCGGATATCGCGACGACAAAGACGTTACTAGGAGAATGAGCGAGTGGCATTCATGTACGTAGGTATGTATGCGATTTGTAGCGCGGAATGAATTTCTAAGGAAAAAGGTGCGCGCAACCTTTGCAAGATAGCGATGTCGAATGTCGGCGGCGGGAGACAGAGACATGAAATAAATGTGAAACGAAAAGAGACTATTCGGCATCCATATCATCATCAAGATCAATAGCGTCTGGGTTGACGGGCGCAGAGGGCTGCGGCAGCTGCTGACCCGGCGGAGGGGGACGATTGCCGCCTTCGGGTCCGGTGCTGGCGGCAACGAAGCCCACGGGGGCGCGAGCTTGCCGTTCCAGAGCTGCCATGGCGTCCGCGCGCTCCTTGGAGCCATCCATGTCTGCTTCCTCGCCTTCCATCTCCTTGCCGCCTTCCTGGGCGCGTTGCTGGCTGCGAGCGATTGCTTGGGAAGCAATGAAGTTGACATCGGTGCTGTTTCAATGAATATTAGCACATTTTCAAATTTCGTGAGTTGGTCAGGGTCCACATACTTGTACTGCGCCTGAACACTTCTCTTGATACGAAGCATCTCCTTGAAGGTATCTTCGTTTCCGTGTTGGACCTCGAACGCCTCCCATTTTTGCCAGAAGCCGGCGTTGGTACGGGGGTCGCAGAACTGAGAAGCATGGCCATAGATCGCACGTGCGCGATCGATTTCGCCAAGTCTCCTTTCCATCTCTGCGAACTTGAGGCACATCTCTTTGGCTTCCCGGTCTGGTAAGGCCGCAATGGCGCGTTCATAGATAGGCCTCGTGGATGTCAAACCAAAGTTGGAGGCAGACTTGGTGATGTAGAACTCGAACATTTCAAATCTGTCCTCGTCTGAAACTGCCCGAGTTGCACGCTCATAGATTCTCATTGCGTGTCGGGCCAGACCGCGTTCTTCTTCAAGGTTGCCGTACATCAGATACAATGGCTTTGCGAACTTCGGCGGACATCCATCGAGAGCCTGTTCGAAGAGGTCCCTCAATCTTTCAATGCCAATCTTCCGATCCACCGCCTTGGTGAGATAAAGGTTCCAGAGCTCGAAAGCGACCGGATAGCTGAAGAGATCCAGGCCTCTTTCGTAGACTTTGAAGGAATCCTCAAAGTATTTATGCTCTTCCAATAGGTTGGCATAGTTGACTACAGTCTGGGGTGTTGCGATGCGCAGTTCAAAAATCCTCTCATATACCTTCCTCGTCTCTTCCAAGGTTGCAACACTCTCGACCAGATCCACATAGAAACTCCAAAGCTTCCAACTCTTATGAACACGCTGCTGAGGGGAGAGAGTCTCGTCGAAATAGTCCACTGTAGACTTCTTCGGTGCCTGCGTAGCCTTGGCCATGATGTCGACGGCCTTATCGAAATTCTCACTTCGGAGTTCCATCTCAGCCCATTCGCACCATGTCTCTGCTAATTCGGCCACTGATTTGAACGGAACCTTGACAGCCTTGTCGAAAATGACTCGAGCAGTGTCCAAATCTCCACCACTCTCGTAGAATTTGGCGTAGTTGACCCAGAGTTCAGAAAACTTTCCATGAGCTTTCTTCGGGTTGATTGCAGCGATGGCGGCGGTGTATGTGTTGACGATTTCTTCTTTGTTGTCACCCCACAGAGCCACCCTCTTCTCCCATTCAATGACATTGTTGGGATTTTGCCTTAGCAAGACATCGTTGACAAGGAACGGCCGGCGATCCATAAGTTGTTCAAATCTCAGCATTCGTAGATCGAGATCAAAATCAGCCTCTTCGTCAACATTTCCTTTATCAGCCCGGACCGCTGCCGCCTCCATCAAGCTTCCGATGATCGATTCTTCAAATTCAACATAGGAGTCGAATATCAGGGTGAAGTCGCGGACGGTCATGACGGTGGTAATACCTTCTTCGAACACATCGCGCGCTTTCTCAAAATTACCCTTCGTGATCCAATAAGTCGCCAACCCAGCCCAGAGCTTCCCTCTCTGGTCCGCAAACCGATCAATTCCACTCCGAAGGATGGCGTCAACATCGATGCCGACCTGCGGGCCGGTCTTAATCTGCTTCGCCTTAGAGACGAGCAGGTCTACCATCTCAGTCCAAAGTTGAAAGTTGCTCTTTCCTCTCTTTGACTGAAATCTCGGGTTGTCGAGGATTTCCATGTAGCGCTTGACAGCTTCGGTATATTGACCCAGTCCAACGAGCAACTCGATATATTCTTCAGCATTCTCCGGGTGAATTTGCATATAACGAGCCCATATCTTCACAGCTGTTTGTCCAGATGCTGAGCGCGCAAAGGCTTTGTATAATTTCCAGATCCGGTTATGCTGGGTGATCGGTAGAGCACGAAGCGCGCGGTCGAATGACCTCCGAGTCTGTGTTACCAATGGTTGTTGTAGCAAGAAAGAGAGATACATCTCCCAAATTTTTGGCATTTTATTCAGCAGTATGAGGGCTCGTTCGAAGAGCGTGTTCACCTTCTGATATTCACCACGGTATTTTGTCGCATTACGACCCCGAAGGTGGTTTATTCGAAACTCCAGATACTTTACACAGTCAGCAAAATCATGCACTGCTATTTTTCAGAAATTTTATGTGAAGAAAGCGACCAGAAAAAAAGACGGGTTTCACATACCATTTTCCAAAGTTTGTATGATCTGGGAAGCTGTTTACAGGCACGCTCCATAACCTAAAACAATCTATTAGCATGTAATCGCGGAGTAAATGGGGGAGAAATCCTACAAAGGCCTGCTCGTAGAGGGTCCCATTCTGCTGTTTGTACTCAATGTAGGCAAGCCATGGTTTGATACTGCCAGGAGCCCGAAGAAGATCCTGTTCATAGACAGTGTCCTGATCGGCCTATGCGCAAGTATAGTGTCAGCATCCACGATTGCAATGCTCAATCCACGCTTAGCGCTTACAATCAGGTAAAGGTCTGGCCCTGAGGCAGACGTTCGGTCCATCTGTGCGTGTTGCCGGTTAGATCTCGGGGGCAGGAGTGTCCCTGGCATTTCGCCACTCGTTCGAGCGGGACCAGCTCGCACGGTCAACACAGGTTCAGGAAAATGGAGAGTCGCATGAACTGGAGAGCTTCTTGTGTTCCTTGTCGCGTTAACCAGCAAAGATCAAGCGCCGCAGAACGTGAAGTTGGACTGGAGCACGTGATCTTCTGTCATGCCGCAGCCAGGCGGGCAGAGGTGGCCCAAGCTTCTTCCTCTATCGGCGCTGCGTATCATCGTGCCAATGAGAGGCCCAAGCAATGCGCCCTGCTCTTTCGTGGTAGTAACATCGTGTTTGAACGTCATTACTTCTATTTAATCATTTCCCAGCCATGTCGGGTGCAGTGGTATGTATCTTCTCTTTGTCTTACCCGCTTTTCGGTTTCGCTGATTGATATGGGTGTCCTTATCAGGGCCGCGAGGCAGTCTTCCCGACCCGCCAGTCGCTGGGGTTGATGAAGAGTAAGCTGAAGGGTGCGGAGACTGGTCACAGCTTATTGAAACGAAAGAGTGAAGCTCTCACGAAGTAAGTTTGCCATTCCTGTCTTGAAATCTATATCACTTGCTGATATATCCGTCCAACTGCAGGCGTTTCCGGGGTAAGACAGCTTCCCCGACAGGATAGCACACCCCGCCGCCAATTCTCGAAGCTGATGCTGTATACTAGAAATCACCCGGCGCATCGATGAAGCGAAACAGAAGATGGGACGGGTTATGCAAATCGCTGCATTCTCCCTGGCCGAAGTGAGCTACGCTGTTGGTGGAGATATCGGCTACCAAGTTCAAGAATCAGCCAAGCAAGCACGGTTCCGAGTACGGGCTAAACAAGAGAATGTCTCCGGTGTCTTCCTACCGCAATTTGAGAGCTATACAGAGGAGGGGATCAATGACTTTGGTTTGACCGGTCTCGGAAAGGGAGGTCAACAGGTGCAGCGGTGTCGAGAGACATATGCTCGAGCAGTGGAGACATTAGTGGAACTTGCGAGTCTACAGGTACTGGATCCTTGCATGTGCTTGAGCTCATTCGTCTTCTAACATGCGGTAATTAGACTGCGTTTGTGATCTTAGACGAGGTCATCAAAGTTGTCAATCGACGAGGTGAGTCTAAACCGCTTCCGCCCATGATGGCACTGAAACGCTGACCAAGGCCATAGTGAATGCGATGTACGGTTTGCACCTGAATATAGACCCGAATTTACAGGCTAACCTTCTTGATCAGTGAGCACGTCATTATTCCTCGAACCGAGAACACTATAAAATGTAAGTAACCCCTACAAGCTCTTTATCTCTCCGATATCTGACCAGGCCTAAGATATCAATTCGGAACTCGATGAATTGGACAGAGAGGAGTTCTACCGATTGAAGAAGGTTTCAAACAAGAAGCAGCGGGATAGCGCCGCCGCTGATGCCGAGATTGTAGCTGCTAGGGAAAGGGAGGCTGCGGACAAGCGGGCCGCTGAAGTCGAAGCAGCGCCTGAAGCCCCAGCGCCTGAAGCCCCA